GGAAGGTCCCTGTACCAAAAAAAAAAAAAAATAAATAAATAAAAATAATGTAGATATGGTATTAGTTAACTCAATTATAAAAAAATTAGAAGACAATAAAAAATTGATTATCAAATAAAACATTGTTAATTCAATTATCAAATAAAAAAATTGTTAACTCGACATTGATTCCCAGTCAAATAAAAGATACACGGTTAACTCAATTATTAAATTCAACTGATCATTAAAATGGAAAAACGAAATAAGGAAAGAAATATTTGTGTGATCTTTAAATTCAAAACAAATTTGATAATTAAGGAGAGATTGATGTATGGTGTAAAAATTGTTTATGTCACTTTCCAAGCCAATTTTGTTTCCAAATTTTTGACCCGAACTTAAATACAAAGCATGATATTGTGACATGTAGGATTCCAAAGCGTGCGAGCCTGCCACTTAGGCTGAGGACGTTTTGAATTAATATTTTAGGCTATTATTACAACTACATAGGACAGAATTTTATAACATTTTAGGCTATTATTACAACTATATAGGACGGCTTTTTATAAAATAGGAGTCTTAGGAGAATAATTTAAGTATAGAAAATAGAGAAAATAATTAAAGTTAAAAAAAGCAATATTAAAAAATATTAATATGTGATTTAATGGAGTTTTGATCGAGAATAATATTAACATTCTTTTATATATATATATATATATATATATATAATATATTTTAAAATGACACTTCTTTGTCAAAATATTGTGAAAGTATATAATAAATTTTAAACGATGTTTGTAAGAGGTACTATAATAGTAAAAAATGGATTGTGATACCATTTACCGATGGACGCCAAAACGTGAATTATCACGATTAAAGCTAATAATATAATTAGCACTTATAAATAAATGACGTTTGTTCGAGTCAAGAGTAGGAATTTGATAGTAAACATCTTAGACTAAAAAAGAGTGCTTGAAAAGGTCATAAATGGCGGAAAAGTTCCAAGCGTATGATATACATCTACTTAGTTTGCACATCATTTGTTAAAGTCGTTTGACTTTTGTTATCCTATGACTCCTTGTTATATCTTCATACATATAAGCATGTGTGATTGTGAAGTGGACCAAAGATTACTACTCTTAGCAGAACAAAAGCCTTTGTTTAACAAGATAATGATCAATCGAAGTAGTTCTAACATATGCCTTATCGAAACTGAAACTGAAACCGAAACTGAAACTGAAATCTTACTCTGATAGTGGCCTATGGCCATTGCTTCCATCAGTATGTTAATGATACAAAACAGAACACAATACTAAAATTAACTATATGAGTTTTTTTTTTTT